GGTGCGCATGGTGTGAGGAAGACGGGAAAAGGAAAAGTGAAATTGAATGAGCGCAACGATGGCGCGGTGAGCTCGCACCAGACGGCGACAGCGAACACCGTACTGTCCCGCCAGGCGCGCCGGCTTTTTAAACATATGGTACAGAGTAAGAAAGGACGCATTACGATGTCTTCGAAGAACCTCGGACCGTCTTGGAGGACGTGGTACATCTAAGTTGCTGTCGTACCGGTAACATTGGGGCTGATCAATGGAGGCGAATAGCCCTTCATGCGACCCGTCGTGTACATTTTGTATTTGCAATTAGAGGCATCGACCAGGGTCCTTGGAGAGGCAGAGTCCAACACCCTTCAATGTCTAAACGAATCATTTCGTCGTCGCCTCGCATCTCTGGAACGGCCAGTGTGCAACGGCAATGCGCATGCACGCGTCGACAGCAACAGCTGTGTTCCATGGACGCTGGCTTTGTTGTTGAAATGAGTTACCTACTGGTACATGTATTAACATGCAATTATATAGTGAAGATGGTGGACTTCCTAGTGCGCTCGTGAGGTTTGGCCGGTACGTCAAGCTGAGGGCGCTTGGTCGGGGCTCGGGATTGAGTTGGGAATGAGGTAGCGAGCACACCAAGGGCGGCGCGTAGGGCATGGAGCGACTCTGCAAGCGAAGGCACCACGGCGCGGCGAGCGAAGCGCTGGATATGCAATCGCGTGGTTGTAGCGGCTTTGATCGCGAGCGCAGCAGCGGGAAGGGGCGTCAATGTCGTGCGGAACACGCGGGTGTTGCGTTCAAGCCAAAGACGGTATCAAACGCAAGCGCACAAGATCGGCGCAGAGGGCACGGATGGTCGACATGTGAGCTGAGAACGGCAGAGCGACGGCATCGTAGAGGAAGCCACCGACCGACGACGGGAGTTGCAGCTGCAAGATTTCGCGCATCGGGTCAAAAGCGCGCCAGACCGCGCGGATGAATGGGCAGTGCACTAGAGGATGGTCGTACGTTTCGCGGGCGGGCTCATCACAGAGCGGGCAGTGTCGGGCATCCGGGCTGAGGAAGTGCAAGCTGGACCGGACCGCCACAGCTTTCAACGCGACTCGGTACACAAAATCGCCGTACCGCGGGAGGACATGAGCGGGTTGCCGTAGTGGGACAAATGCAGCAACTTGGTTGCTGGTAATAGGTCGGCGGAGATGCCAAGGTGGTGCGCCGGCAGCACACGCCAGTCGATGTTTGGACGACGTCTGTAGCCAGCAAGGCAGATCTCTACGAGCGCAGCTGAGGCTACGTGAGGTCCGAGCTCGACGAGCCAGGTCGGGGCAGGATCTGGGTGCGACAGGTGCAATGAGAGGGAAGCATCCAACGATAGCGATCGCGAGCAGCCGGATCCAGCGACGGGGTGGCTGCAGCACTGGAAAAAGTCGTGGCAATTGCTCGGCGAGGTCAGCGACAGTGTGTCCGAGGGCTTGAAAGCTGTCCACGTGCGTGTAGCCTTGAACGGCAAGCATCTCGACATGCACAGCGTTGTCGTGTGCGAGCCACTTGAGCTTGCTGGACGTCGGAAGATGTGCGTTGTGCCAAAGCGGAAGACGGTGCGTCACAAGCAAGCCATGGATGGTGTAGACGGTCGAGAACCACGCAAGGAGGACCGCCGGCCAACGTGGCGGAATGGACGCTGGCTTTTCTGCATCCAGTCCGTCGTGGGGCGCGATCAATATAGGAGCAAGGGCTACGTAGTTTTCTAGTTTTGGCAGCCGAAACAATGTAGACATAGCATGTATAGTAGGTGTTGGAGTTTTGTCACGTGTCAAACGATTATATATAAGCCATTTAAATGATTCAATGGCTTGCTGAACGAGATCGCCAGTCGTGTGTGTCACTCTGAGGTCGTGACGCGGCGCAAATCAGACTCATATCCTGCGTCAGATGGGAAATGCGATTCCAACTGTGATCCCTTGTTGACCGCACGTTTCTTAGAACAAAACTTGTCTCGTGAACATTGCCGTTGCACCACTGTAGAGGTAGCTTCTACCTACGTTCCTTCTCAACGTGTGGACGTCGATTTACCTTCCTTCACACGGACTTGGGCACCACTTGGTTGTGAATCCAGTGCCTGGGTTGCATCGTGTGCATCGGAAGGCGACGGCACCGGTGCTGTCGTTGTCGCCAGCAGTGTCGCTATCGCAATCGGGTAACGACCGAGAGTGTGTATGAGAGCAATGCGTTGACTTGTGCTCGCCGCGTTGCATCGTGTCGACAGACATCAAGGCAGGATGCGGTATCGTGGGAACTGAGGCTCAGACTGAGAGTAATCAGTGTCAAAAGTCAGAGGTCGTCCAACTTCCTTTCACACTTAGCTACAGTGCATAATCTATCTGTCTTCTCACCCAAAAAGGCTCGGTTTGGCGCTCGTCGACAGCGGCGAGGTCGTTGCTAGCAGCAAACGCGACAACCGCTCTACAAAATGCAGAAAGCTTTCTTAGATAGGGATTTCGGTGCCTGTAGAACTGTTTTCGGGGAATCCGATCCTGTACGTCAGAGACGAAATCATCGGACGACGGCGCTTCATTCAGCACGGCTTGGTCAATATTTTCCTAAAAAGGATCAGCGTTCGTCGGCGCTGTTGCTACACCTTTGCTTTGCAGCACGTCGTGTGGTTTTTTGAAACGGCAAAGTGCGTCAGGACGCAGGAAACAGCCGACTTTCATTTGTCGCGGCAAATGAGACTCCACCAGCCCTTCCGAGCACCCTTCCGAGAAGAAGACAGCACTGCAGAAGCACCAACTCAGGGTGAGTCCGGTAACCGGGCCCCCCCTGCTCTCTCCACCCCACACACTCCGATTCCAACTCAGATGCAGATGTAACGTATTCGAAGAACGAGGCCTGCCCTAGTCCTAGCGTATCGAAAATACTATCAGCGATCGTGTGGCTCTGCCCCATGTCAATTCCAGCGCATCAGTGCGACCTTGCATGACCCCAGCTCCTTCTTTGCCTCAAAAACAGCAGCCAGTTGGTCTGTGCACGCAATTCTAGGCGGCTCGTGTCCTTCCCATTCTCACTTTTCCTTTTCCCGTCTTCCTCACACCATGCGCACCGCTTACCTTCTCGCGACCTTGGCTGCGGTGGCTGCCAGCGCCGACCTCACACCCGCCGAGCGCAAGGAGCTCACGGCCGACTTGAAGGAGTGGCAGGCTCTCTTTGGCCAAGAGGCGCTCACCGAGGGCTTCCTCCCGCCCCTCGAAGGCCTCACCATTGGCGAGTCCAACGACGAGCTCCTCGTCCGCATGAAGGCCGCCAAGCAGCGCGTGCCCGAGCTCGCCAAGGAGAACCCGGACGCCTCCTTCACCCACCTCTCGCCGCTCGCGCTCCTCACCAAGGACGAGTTCAAGCACTACGTCATGAAGTCGTTCAAGCGCGGCAAGCGCGCGCTCCGAGCCGAAAAGGTCGACTGGGCCAGCGTCGGCGCCGCGTCGGCCACTGGCAGTGTGGACTGGACCGCCGACTCCAAGTGCGTCAACCCCGTCAAGAGCCAGGGCAGCTGCGGGTCGTGCTGGGCCTTCTCAGGCACCGGCACTGTCGAGTCGGCGCACTGCATTGCGACTGGGACGCTCCTCGACCTCTCGGACCAGCAGACCACGAGCTGCGCCTCGAGCGCTGGCAACGGCTGCGACGGCGGCCTCGAAGACCGCGCCATCACGTGGATCCACGACAACGGCGGCCTCTGTCTCTCCAAGGACTACCCGTACACGTCCGGCTCGTCGGGCCAAACCGGCTCGTGCAAGTCGTCGTGCACCAAGCAGAAGCTCGCGATTGGCGCGACTGTCAACATCAAGGGCGAGGGACCGCTCGAGACGGCGCTCAAGACGCAGCCGGTGGCTGTTGCCGTCGAGGCTGGCAACGACGTGTGGCAGTACTACAAGGGCGGCGTGGTGTCGCAGTGCCCGGGCGCGCAGTCGGACCACGCCGTGATTGCGGTCGGGTACGGCTCGGAGAACGGCAAGGACTTTTTTAAGATCCGCAACTCGTGGGGTGCCAACTGGGGCGAGAAGGGCTACATCAAGCTCCAGCGCGGTGTCGGTGGCAAGGGCATGTGCAACGTGGCCGAAGAGCCGGCGTACCCCAAGATCACGGCGGGCCCGACGAGCAAGCCGACAGACGGTCCGACGAGCAAGCCAACCAGCGGCCCTACCCCCAAGCCATCGACCAAGCCGACGACCAAGCCAACTACCAAGCCTTCGGAGAAGCCGACCGAGGACCCGTCGGACGAGCCTTCGGAGGACCCGACGCCGGCGCCAACCAAGCGCCCAACGCAGCGCCCGACGAAGCGACCGCGCACGACGCGCCCCAAGACGCCGTCCCCGACGGACGATGACTTTGGTGTCGATCCGTAAGCGCTCGAAAAGGAGCGATTTTGATGTTCCCAATACAATTTGTGTCTTAAATGCTTGAACTTGCTTTTGTCGAATGCGTTGATTTGGGGAGAGTGAACTGGCACGCGTCCGCCCATGTCACCCCCGTGCAAAGTAGCCTTCACGCAGCGTAGGTCGGCAAGACACGACTGGTCTTCACTGAACTCACCAAACTGCCACATTCTAGTCATTCCAATCATTCTACAATTTGTAGTCGTTCTGGTCATTCTAGTCATTCTAGTCATTCTAGTCATTCTAGTCATTCTAGTCCGTCTCTACCACAACCGCACAGCGTTCGAATCGTCGCATTCGGCAAAGTGAGGCCGACTGCATCAAACCTCAGACGCATCGCTCGGCTCTTCAAACCGAAGTTCGAACTCGGGGGCGTTTCAACAGATTTGGACAAAACAGGGTGACGTCGTAACGCCTAGGACAAATAGAGGGCTCCAAACGTCAACTTTCGTGCAGTGCAGACGGCATCTCTGCGATCAAACTGCAAATGATTCGAGTGGGCTTTTTCCGGTGCTCTGATAGCGTTCCCAGCGTCCAGGTAGGGCGCCCACAACGCCTGCACCGTTAGGGATGCTTCTGAACTCATACCATCCGCTGACAATAATAGAGTGCGCAGTTGTGCGATCGGTCCATTATTGACACATCGTGCTCCGTCGACGGCAGCTCGTTGGTTGGCGCACCGCACGAAAGTTGCGTGTGACTAGCCCGGCTGTCGAAGTTCGAAGTCTGGCAGAGGCACGGACGCAATTGGCACAAGGCCGTTGTCGCCACCTGTGGAACCACGTGGTCGCGAGCGCAATCCCAGCGTCGCGAGAGACGAACGACGTCGGTCGCCGGGCGCCGCCCCTCCATGCCGTCCACCAAGATGAAGGAGTACATCATGCACAAGCTCTTTGAGCTGCCCAGCTACACGCCGATCCGCGTGTTCCAGCGCCGGTCGACGTCCGCGTCCGTCGGGGATACGCCGTCGTCCGAGTGGTTTGACCACATCCTCGACGAAGCGCACCCGCTGCCCGAAGGCCTTGTCATGGTCTCGCCCGTCATGACGCACGCGGCCTTCCAGTCGCCGACGCCGCCGTCGCCGCCAGGCACACCGACGCGACCGACGCGGTCGTTCTCGCTCGACACGCACCTCTCGAAAGGCACGCGCTGGGCCGTCGTCAACGGTCTCCAGCAGCGGATACGCGCGCGGCTCACGTGGACGCGGCGCCGGTCCGCCGACGACGCGTCATTGCATACGGACACGGACAGCGACGACGACACGGGCGTCATCGTCCCGAGCGTCATCATCGAGACCGTGCACGGCGAGAAGCACCAAAAGTCGTCAACATCGTCATCGTCATCGTCATCGTCGACGCTCGAGTTTTACGACACGACGACGTCAATCTCGTCGCCGCCGCTCGACGCAATCTCGGAAGAGGACGATGGGAAGAAGCACATCACGTTCAGCATGGCGCCGATGGTCCGGCACATGTACTTTGCCGTCGAGAGCTACGAAGAATGGGTCATTCGCGTCTCGAACGGGTACGCGACCTGCGACCTGCGGCCGGCCCACGTCAAGCTCCACGCGTTCTGCACCAAGAGCCTCACGTACCTCAAGTACCGCGAGAGCCCGTGCGTCGAAGTCTTTGCGCTGGGCGCCCACGACATTTCCATGTGGCGGACCCTTGGCCACCACAACTGGACACGCGACGCGGTGCCAGCGCCGCACGAAGAGACGATGCAGCAGCACGACAATAATGTTGATAGCGATGAGTATACCAAGGACGGGCTGGCGTCACCGACAAGCCCGCTGACGGACGACGAAGGAGAGAACGACCCGCACAGCTGCAGCGACCGAGACGACGACGATGAAGATATCCAAGTCGAGCTGGAGCGCGTGCCGTTTGTGCCCCAGAACGCCGACTTGCAGCCGCTCCTCGACGTCATCAATGCCACCGTGGGCAAGGGCGATACGCTCTTCACGCTGGCCGACATGATGCACTTTTGCTGCGAACTCGAGTACCCAAAGCGAGACGGCCGCGATGAAGATGGCTGGTGCTAAGACCTTGACGTGTAATAAACCCTGTTTCTATTTTACGACAAGCGCGCTGCGGGCGCCACGTCATATGCCGCCGATGGCCATTGGCAGAAGGCGTGTGGTTTTGACCAATCACATGCGCGGTAGCCAATTCTGAAGCTCGCCAGGACGCTCGAACGGCTGCATGGACGCGGACCGGCGCTGCATAGATAGGAAGGTGCAAGTTCAATGTGGACTCGAGGCACGCGTCCGATTCATCAAGCACGACAGTGCAGTGCCGTTAGCTCGTTGCAACACCTTTGACCTTGATTCAGAGTTTTCGAAACGAACCAGATCTGAACGTGTGGGTGACGGTATTACAATTAGTGAATTTGGGTTATAGATTTAGATAAGGACATCGATTTACAGGGTGGTCGCACGTAGGTGGAAGTCGTCGAGGTGTCGGTCTCGCGGCGGTTGTCGCTGGATATCAGTCGCGATGGCTCAACGCGCTGGACGACCCGAAGTAGTGCCCACCGATAAATGTACCCGCAGTTAGCACCAAGACGCTTCCTCGGTTGTGTCCGTGCTGAGCAGGGTCGCTGACGTGCTTGGTGTCGGCGGCGGTACCGTCATTTGTGAGGCTGCGGCCGTTGACAGCGCTGCGGCGCCAGTGGCGGGCGGCGTGGCGAACCGTCGAGTTCATGGGTGCGTGCATCGCAGTCGGTTGAGGTGATTCAACGAGGCAAATTGGAAACTGGCAAACTTGTTGGGACAAAACCTGGATGACGGACCAGCATTCGTGGTGCATGTTCCCTGCACACCACCAACGGAATAAGCTTGACACGCAGGACGGTGGAAACCATAGAACCGGCGCATATCCCACGACAGGATGTCGCTCTCGTACTGGTTACAAGTCGTTACTACTGGGCGCGTACCCACAGCGACGCCACCGGAACCTACTTGCTTTGCAAGCGACAAAGACACGTCGACAGTTCAACATTGCAAGTCGGTCGCTTTCTTCAGAATCTTCTTTCATTCACGTTGCCGCTGACGGAGCTTCATAGGGCGATAAGCCATAGGGCTACGAGTAGCGTTAGCTGGGCGGCAACGACCATGAGTACTTTAGTATTGTTGGTGCAGTTTGCCGTGCCTCCTCGCAATGTGTCAACTGCGCCTTCGCTTTTATGCGCGACTATCGCCGCAGTCTCACCACTGCGTTTCTGCGTCCGAGCCGGAAGGTATCGTTTCTGGCGGTGAAATTCCAAGTAGTCGTTCGACATGCACTGAAAGCCAAGCACCTCTTTCAAGACTAAACTACTGGTACTGGGGCAACCCTAGTGTTGGTGCCACGGCGGACGAGGCGGGTTCTCTTCTTGACCGGGACGCAAGCATCCTCTGCGCCGTGATCTTTGGTCCTTCTCTGCTTCCAGATTTGGTCGTCCAGATCGCAGGGCCCTTTGCGGAAAACACTTTGACTTCCAGGAAACAGCCTTCGCAAGGCAAATAATATGACCTGTCTGTGTCGAACAGCAGCGGTACCAGCACCCTGGGTCGGACCGGCAGTGTAGCCGTCTGACATCCGACGTCGGCTACACTGCCGGCCCCGACGGCGGCGAGGTGCTCCGACTTTACACCAGCCTCTCCACTAATGTGACTCTGGATGAGCGAGGTCAACCACGTATGCCGTAGCTCCTCGAACAGTAGACCAGAGAACCAAAAGACGGATAGCTTTGGACAAGGGTCCACTGTTTATGGACCCTTGCTTTGTGTGAACGCGACCCCATTGGCAGTCGCATCTCCGGTAACACGCAGCAGACTCGACTTCAACTTGGACAACTCACAAATCGTCGCCATGTTAATCTAGTTCTGGCCTTGCCCAACGACGCGAGAGAATGGCGGCAACCTGCGTCACGCGCTCGGCGCCGATTTTACGCACAGCCGTTGCCATTAGGTTTGCCTTTCATAGACGACCGTGCCTGACAGCTGCAAGTGCGAGTAGGCGCCTTCGGGCAGCGCTGCATGCACTAGAAAACGGAATTGCATTCCGTTGACGGCCACTGAGCTCCCGCGTTGCTCTCGGTTGGCACCGGCAATGAGACCCTAACGTTATGAGGCATACAGTCCCTGTTTCACCATTGCGCACACCATAATGCATGGTGAGTGTGCTGAAGTCGAAGTCGATTCGACGAGAGCAACGGAACTGCCAGATGGACCGACCCAGGGTCGACCTGACCTGCAGCTCAGGCTTGTGCTCCCCTTGCTCTCAAATAAAATAGCAAGCTCGTTGATTACTCGAATGCTCGGTTGAGCAAGCACCAGACGAAACAAGGCAAGCCACCAATCAATGGCAGCGCTTCCGAGCCAATTTGGACCGATGGACTCGCCACGCCGAGTGTCGGATTGAGAATGATGGTCTTTTGGCTCCACGACCTTCATTCGACATAACCGCACTCCAAATGTCCTGCCATCATTTCCCAACTTGCCTTGACCACAACCATGAGCTCTGTCTTCCGCCACGCTGCTCGCCACGGGCGCCGCACGGTCCACGCTAACGGCCGTCGTCTCACAACGGATGCCACCGCCGACGCCAAGGAGTTGTACGGCCGCAAGCAGCAGCAGCAATGGCAGCGCTACTGGGGCCACTCCCGGGGCTGCGGCGGCGGCGCCATCTTTGCGATTGCTACGTTTGCCGGCGGGTACTATATCGGATCGTCGTCGTCGTCGGCAAGCGACGCGAGTCGTCGCGATTGGCAACAGGAGCTGCGCGACGACAACCGCGAGCTGAAGCGGCGTCTCGACGACCTCCAGCGCCTTGTCGCCAACGCCCCGCCCACGACTGGTCCGTAAAGAAACCTTGGACGAGCGATAACTTGAATCACCACTGCGTAATCCCCGATGCGCTCGCCTGAGAGTTAATGCATGCAAATGCAGCCTGTATGGGGACGATCTATGACATTATGGTTGGTTACATGACGCAACTAGCGCTTCTTGGAGAGCCAGTTGATGCCGACGCCGAGGCCCACGACGCAGACGCCAAGCGCGACCGCCATCCACTGCGCCGAACCCGTGTCCTTCTTGAACCGCTTGGGCTTGGTGAGCGACCGGTCTTTGGGTGCGGCGGCAACGACGACGGGTGCGTCAAGGTCCAGCTTTTCAAGCGGCGCAGGCTCGTCGTTGCCGTCGTCAATGGGCTCCAGTGGGGCAACGGGGGCCAGAACGGGCGACGGGGGCGGTAGCTACACTCGGCTATAGGATACCATCGAAATATAACTACGCACCAAAGCGGCCACACGCTGCAGCACGACAGGGTGGTACGGCTCGCCCGTCGTCTTGGCTTCCTTGCAGCCTTCCCAGACGTCCATGAGCACGTTCATGCCGTAGTAGTTTTGGATCTAATGGCCACTCAACTTGGTGAAAGAGACAAATATGGTCTCAACCTCGGCCAGGACGTCGCAAATGGTGTAGACATTGACAAGGCTGCTTACAAACGTCACCAGCCGCGGCAGCGTCGTTGGGTCGTCGACCTTCCACGCCCGGTGACGAATGTGCAAGCGTGTCCTACACACCAATAAGACTCTTCGCACACCATTTGTTGACGATACCACAGTGCATGCCACTGCGGCTGCGAAGCAAACTCGTTCTGGGACCTACAAATGAGCTTGTATCCTGGACTCGTAGGCCAGAGGTGGTTCAGTACCACTCGTTCACTGCGTTAAAGTCGCATGAACCCTTGAGGAAGAGACTCTCGAGCACGAGACGCTTTTGCCCGTCCGAGAGCTCGTCGTACGTGACCTGGCTCAGCTCCATTGTCAATACGGGGTCCACGGGCTGCCCGAGCCACTGGGCAATGCTACTGGGCGTTGGCAGGTCGACTAGATGATTTTTGTGTGTGTGAGAGGCACGGAGAGAGGGATGGCGTACCGAGTGCGTGGTACCAGTGCTCCCACTCGATCGAGAGCGGAATGTCCTCGACCAGAGTAAAGTACTCTTCGCAGTACATTTTGAACTCTTCGCTCGTGACGCTGCCCGTCTCAAACCCTGAGTTCGCACGTCAGATATTCGTTTCTGGTTTCTGGTTTCTGATTTCTAGTTTTGGAGGTTCGTACCAGAAATGTAGGCCGACACAAAAAAGTCAAACGTGTCCTTCCCGACCATGGCTTGCAGCGCGAGGAGGCAGAGGTAGCCCTTCTCCCGGGCAATGACGCTGAAGCGATCCATCGAGTGGTGGTCCATGCGCTAGAATTCCAGTTCAGATCGACTCGCAGACGAAAAATCGTACCAGACGCGTGTTGGCAGGCGACTCGGTGTCGAAGGCGTGGCAGAGCTGGTTGTAGCCCGACCAAACGAGCTCCGTCGTCTCGACCTCGCTTCCGTCCAGCTGCTTGAGGAGTTCGAGCCAGAGGTACTTTGCCCAGCCTTCGCTCAGCCTACAATTGTCGTCGCAATCTAGACTACAACCTGGTCATCGTACCAGACGTCGTGCCACGTTTCGTGCGGCGCGAGGAACGACAACCAGTGTCGGGCAACGCTTTCGACGAGAAGCGAGCGCGCTACACCAGATGTGAGCGTCGGTTGTGACCAGAGTCGAGTGCGTACTCAGACACGTTTGGGTCGTCACGACCAGACACGGGTAGAGCGCCGTCTGGAAGCAAAACTCGGCGGGCACAATCACAATGTTGAGTTCCGACCAGACAAACTCGTGGCCCGTGAGCGCCTCTGCGAGCTACGTCCACGCTCGTCAGCGCAAGGGATGGAAGCGTTGTCGTGGGTACCTCGAGGTGCAGCGGCAGCTGCGACACGGCGTCGAACGTCGCTTCGATTTCAATGTCTTCGGTCGCAAAGAGAGTCGACATTTGCGGCGCGAGCGAGAAGCTACTCCATTCCGTGAGCCTCCTACGGATGGGAGGTAGACGTGGCGTACAGCTCCATGGGCGCGACGACGAGCGCGAGGGCGTGCGATGGCACGGGCAATGTCTGCCGATACGTCCACGTCTGCATGCCATTCTCGGCCAGCGTCGGTGCGGCGCCTACATAGCTACACTGAGACGCACAGGAGGAAACGCGTTCGGACCTCGCGTTGGCGCGCTCACGACAGCGATCGTCGAGGACAAGGTTGTGATCTCGGCCGTGTAGGGGTACTTCATGCAGAGCGCAGCGGGAATCGGAAGCAGCGCCGAGGCGTACGACGGGTACGACTGCGTGACGAGCCACGTGCCACCGTCGCTGCTCTTGGTATCGTCGAGCCAGTGGCAGGCGAGGCCGTTGGGCGCCGTCGAGTACGAAATGGCAATGCTACGTGCCGATGAGGACGTGGAAGATCGATACGACATACGTGAAGGGCGCGAGTGTGTTGGGCGGGAGGTTGATGAGCAGCATCGAGTGGCCCGAAGGCACGGGGTTGGCGACGACCTGCGTCGCGCTCTCGGCGCCGTTGATGCGCACGGCGCGGATCGCGAGGCCGTTGACTTCGAGCGGGACGAGGCCGTTTGTCGGCGCGACCGCGAGGGTGTACGTCGCCGTCGCGTGCACGACGCGCTGGTCAAAGTCGACCGTGGCGGCCCAGTGCAGGTGCGAGTAGGCGCCTTCGGGCAGCGCTGCGTGCACGGCCGAGGCCACGGAGCTCCAGTCTTCGCTCTCCATCGCAGTCGGTTGACACACCACGTGGACGAGGCAGGAAGTTGAATGCTACATTGCGGCGATGCCATTGGCTGCGCCATTTTGACGCCGTCAACAGGCACGAATAGCCGACACTGGCGCGTTTTATACAAACCGGATTCGAATGTTTCGAACATCCTGGCTGCGTGCCACCTGAAGGACAGTCAGTTGGCCGCAAAGCATCGCTCTACTACAAGCATCACAAGGGCGCAAGGTACAAGCGATACAACGAGTGTCGTGGCTTTGCTTGGCGCAATGCGGAGACGATAGGTCAAGTTGCAGGTGGGCGAGTCCGGGCAACCGTAACGCCCGAGCACGTGGCGAAATCTCGTGTGTCCATGACGCAAAACTAGATCTCGGAGGTCGATCGGCACGTTCAGAGCTATTCCGCAGGCTTCGATTGCGTAGTCGCGGCAGCAGCAGCACTGCTTTCCATAGCATGATCTCTTCTGGTGCTGCCTCGCTTGCCGCTGTTAGCAAACTTGACCCCACTACAGTTTAGCTGCAAAAATAATATTTGCAAACCAAAGAGTGTCCTTACTAAACAAGGAGATCAAGGCAGGCTCTGGCGATGCAATTGACCAAGCCGTGCGCAGGGTCGTCACTGGCACACACGAAGGTTACGTCGCCTCCGTTCCTGACGCCGCTGTTTTAAACACTGCAACGGGCTGCATCCGTATACCTGTTTTCATAAACGACTCGGATTGTGGCCACACCCACAGAAAGGCCCGCTTCTTGAACCGACTGTTGATGTTTTTTGCGCTCGGTCGACGTCGCGCGACCGCTTGTGGCCGGCGATGGCTCCATGCGCCAGCTCTCAAGCTCTCGAGCCCTGAGGCCATGGAGGCCTTTGGTGCCGGCCTTGCGCCGCACGTGCCATGCCCTTCGACCGTCTTCCTCGTCGGCGACCTCGGCTGCGGCAAGACGTGCTTCGCCCGCGGCTTTGTGCGCGCATGGACGGACGACGCGGATATGCACGTCACATCGCCGACGTATCTGCTTCTCAACACCTACGACGACGCGGCCATGGCGCGGTGCGCAATGCTTTTCTGACGTCGTCTGTGCTGAGATGCTCGTAGATCGCTGTATCACATGGACCTCTATCGACTCGACAGCGTCTCGCCTGTTGATGCCAAGGCCTTGGGCCTCGAGGATGCGTTTGCGTCGAGTGTTAACTTGATTGAGTGGCCTGACCGACTCACGCCTGACCTTGTGCCTGGAGACCGCCTCGAGGTTCACATTGCGTACACCGACACGGAAGATGAACGAGCCGTGCAGCTCAAGGCCTTTGGTTCGACATGGGAAAGCGCGCTTCGCTGGTTCGAGTCCACGCAGGTTCAGCGATAGCTTCATCTAATAGAGAAGGTGGGACACAAAAAGGTTTTCGAGTTCTGTTGTCAAATGGCCCGTCATCCAGAGAACTTTGCAATCAACCTCGCGCTATCGAGGTGATTCCCTCATCGCACAACGCGCTGTGTGAAGCGCGGTCACTGCGATCCATCATGCAAGAGCAAACAAGGCCAATTCATGATGAAGCCAGCTCGTCATAGCATTAGTTGGTGGGCGGCTGGTACGTGTTGGCGTCGTTCCACTCGTCGATCTTCTTCTTGATGAACTCCATCACGACGGGGCTCGGATCGATGAAGAGGTGTGTTTCGTCAAGGTCTTGGATGATAAACTTTTTCTACATGCAGCGTGAGGCAAGCGCCGTCATCGGTGTCGCACCTGCCCAGGCACCGCGTTGAGGTGCTTGAGGTACTGCTTCGTCGGCGGATCGCTATAGCCATCGTTAGCCCACATGCTCGCAGCGGCCCTCGACGGCTACGCACCACTTGACAAGCACGCCCGCGCTCGCGTCCACCCCGCTGCGTCGCATTGCTCAACTCCACCGTAGGCGCGACATCCGGACATCCGTATAAACCTCTGACAATATATCTATACATATTTAAAGATAGAGGTGGTTGACCACCAAATGCGCCAACAAGCAACATTCTATCCAACAAGAGTCCTAATATTATTCCGTCGCGACGTACAGCAGTAGAAGGTGTGCTTGTGGTGAGACCACTATGCGTCATTGCGAAGGAAGGCTCTTTACGGCTACCAGCGCTCGCTGGTTGCGGGCTATAATAGGGTTAGGTGTACCAGCCAATTGAAGTTGCTATGGCTTGGCTGGGACGGTTGTACAGCAATCGCGAACGTCGGGTGCCAGCGTCGCGCCTTGATGGACGATGGATGGCGAGAGCTTGCGCCATTCGCAGGGAGAAACACGCAGCATTCTTCCTACTACGACGTCCAAACGAGCGGTCGCTTCCACGTCATAAAGTGCGGCGTGGAGCGCGGTTTGGTCGGGCGACCGTGCACTGAGAACAGCAAAGCACGTGAGGGTATGCGCGCACGCCAGCTCTTGTCCGTGAAGCGTAGACGCGTTGTTTGTGCCAACCTTATGCCTTCGAAGCCGTGAAGCATGTAGCAGAGCTCCGTTCGTGGTCGAGTTTAGCCACGCAGTACCGCTAACAAACCAGGTAGACGCAGCACCGCCTTGGGCTCTACATTCGAGGTGCAATCTTGCGTGATTTTCCCACGCGATCGCGAGTGCCCCTCTCTCTGCTTCCGTCCGTGGGCTCCTTAGACGCCCGTGAGTCATTGCCGCGCCGATCGATACATAAGCGTGCGCGTCGATGCGACCTGTCACTACGAGCCATGACGATGCGATGCAAACAGCATGCAGCACCCGAGACACGACGTTGCTACCGAGTACGCCTAGTCCAGCACGCACCAACGACCACGACCGAAGCGAGAGCACGCAATCCATGGTCCCACAACAGTCGTATTGTCCGCATCATCATCGCCAACGTAGCTTACATGTCGGCATTGCACTCGTCCAGCAGCACGCGGTCGTAGATCATCTCGAGATGCAAGTCGGTCGACTCGGCGTGGACGTTGGCCATGCGACGTGTCGCACCGTCCGTTGGGTCGTACGCTGCTGTCGTCACCAGCACGTCCCGCGCCAGCAGCACCACCAAGCTCGCATCTTGGCGTCGCCAGAGCGTTCGGAAGCCATGACCGCGCTCGGTCGGATGGCGAGGCCATACAAACACGTCCAGATGCAGCCCGTCGACGTCGCTCCACCCGACATAGTGGGCCAAGGCGCCATGCGGCCACGTGTGCATCGCATGCGGCATGTGGTCCAGCGCAAAGGCGGTCGGCGGCGACGGCCACGCCGGCCATCGGCTCTGCACCTACAGAGCAAGATGAGTCATCGGTTCATTGGCCGCACGGCCACTGGACGATCTCGTGTCATTGAAATATCGTCCCGTGACACTTGGTGTTTCTATGGATTTTTTTACGCGCGACACATTTTCTGTGCCGGCGTCCGACGTACCGAGAAGACGTGGCCGTCAAGGCAGAGACGGAGACCGCACATGCCGAGCCAGCTCCAGAGCACGTCGAGAAAGGACGGCGTCTGCAGCGCACGGACGATCGGCGTCGCGACGCGCCAGGCCCAGACGCCACCGTAGACTGCGTCTGGTGGCATCAACGGTTGCGTCCGCGCCTACGTGCTGCGTCAGCGCCGTCGCCCGACGTGTCGTACCACGTGCGACGTCTGCAAGATGCGGGCAAAGACCGCAAACCCGATCGCGTGCGAGGGCTGTGGAACGGTTGGCGGCGGCAGCTGCGCCGAGAGACTGCTTGTGCTCTCGCCGAGCGTCGCCAAGACCACGTCGAGGCTTCTGGCGAGCGACTCGACGGCGCGGTTGTACGCTTCGTGGAGCTCCGTGTTGTCGTAGATGCTGCCGTCGTACCGCCGACAAAAGTCGTGGATCCTCGACGAC